TCACTACAATACTAATCCAAATGTATCATTGAAATGTTACTTATTTATTAGGAGTTGAATTATACATTAGTCAACTATACACGAAAATGTATGCAGTAAACAACTAAATTCACTTGATGTTGTTTTACTTTTATCTTTCTATTGTTATTTAGGACTGTAATTTATCAGTCTCATGTTGGCATATGTGCATCCTGTGCAGATTGCCTCAATATAGCCTTAAGTCACAAGCTTTTTAAGCAAAGAGACAATGATAAGTATTGAGTGCTCTTTTTTGTGTCATAACTAATTTCTATTTTTAAAATAATAGTTATTTTTTTGGTTAGCGTTCTTTCTTGGCGAGTTAGTTTTCTACGGGATGGGGTCGCTAACCCTATGCCCAACCCTCCTCCTTTATCCGAGCTTGGAACCGGCAGTAGCCCCCGGAGGGACTTCTGGCGGAGTTTCATAAGAATAGTTACTTTTCCATAGGATTTATGATAGAAGGACTCAATCTCTACCATGAAAAACTACAGTGTTTATATAGTATCTTCGATTATTCATTTGAATCTTAGGGTGTTTTCTGAAATGCGAAATGTCTTCTCTTCTGGTTCGTAAGTGTTCTGCTTATGCTGAGTTTTCTAGATTCAGAAAGTTTTCTCTCCGTCTGATGACTGTGCCGGCTTTGAGGCATACGTACTACTTATGATCAGTCTTGTGAACAGTTTATTTAAAAGGATTCTATAGAGATTGGTTTAGTTTGTATACAACATTCATTACAACAGAACTTCAGTTTAATTGTAATAATTAGCTCACTAGTGTTGTTGAAAATAGATCATCATGGAAAACCGGAAAGCACTGGATGGCCGTTTCGTCCTATTGTAGGACTCCTTAGCAGTGAGCATCAACGACCCCGCCTCGAGGGATTCTAACCCAGGACCTATCGGTCTCGCGCGCGAGCACTTAACCACTAAACCACTTAGCTGGCCGGCATCCAACGGTGTTAATGTCTAGCTTCAATTGATCCACGAACTTCAGTGACACATCCACCATTGTCATCACTGAGTTACTATCTCACATAACATAATAATAAATTGAGAATCATAGATCAGTAAATAATGTACAGTTCATCAAACACATTGGGATGTTGGCGAAAATTTGTAGCTCATAATAATGATCCCGGTAGAGCTGAATTCTTTTCAGCTGGATGGCTTAATAATGAAGCTTTCATTTTTATTTATTAGTATAAACCTTAGATGGAAGAAAGCTGGTATATTTTCACTTATATCAATCTATGTATATAATTGTACACACATATTTGGCTGGTGAAATATTGAAATCTCGGACAGAGGGAATATAAATAATACCAGAGAATTTATAGAAGTTTGGAACTTAGATCAATCAGCGATTAATAAATATGCCGATATCGATTCCATTTTTCACCCAGTTAAAAAAACACAACTAAAAATGACCATTTAGTCATGAATTAGGACAACGAGGAAGGCAATCACAATAAATAAGCTTAAGAAAACAAACCGTTAACTATAGTTAAAGCCTATATATAGTACAATAGTGGATGAAACTTTGTTTAACTCACTCTGGAAAACTTCTCTATGAATGTTACCAATTTTTAGTTACGCTATCAATGTTTATTTCAAATAAATACAGCATCATTTATAAAAGAGGTTAAATTTTTCCCAGTTTAACATCACAGATCTATCTCCAGTGAACGGCCATTAAAAACCAAAGGGAAATGGATAATATTTCGTTATGATATGTCACTCCTCAGTAATTTGTATTAATAACTCTACATGTTAGGGGTTGAACCTAGGACTTTCGAACTCAACTCAGGGTTTTTCTTGGATGTACACAGATAAGGAATTCCATAACAGAACAAAATAGCTTTTCAGTTCTTTTTGATTTTCAATGCTTATCTATCGAAGATCAATCCATGATATAAACTCGTGAAGAATATAGAATCAATATCAAATCTCTGCAACATGGCACTAATGTCTCATTCTGGAATTGTATTCCACTTTTTAAATTATGTTTTACCGCAAAGAAAAAAACATAAACATACTCATTTGGTTGCATGTATAAAATTAAGTCTATAGTGCTTAACAATTTGACTTCACTTACACAGTGTTTTCATCATACTCTTCTGTATTAGAATTTATCTGAGTACTCTTACTTATTGATGTAATGAACAAGAACACGAATGGGAACATCCGAATGTAGTTGAACATGAAGTTACAGAACGTCTTAGTAAAATCAGTGTACCATACTCACTTACTTACGCCTGTTACTCCCAATGAAGCATAGGCCGCCAATCAGAATTCTCCAACGCACTCTGTTCTGGGCCTTCCATTCTATTTCTATTCAATTGTTGTTCATTCTTCTCATGTTCTTCTTCATTTCTCGGCATAATGTATTCTTTGATATTCCTCTCCTGCTTTGACCTTGGGGATTCCAAGTCAGGGCTTGCCTTGTGGTGTAGTTAATTGATTTCCTCAGTGTGTGTCTTATACACCTCCATCGCTTCTTCCTGACTTTTTCCTCCGCTGCAATCTGATTTGTTCTCTCCCACAATAGGTTGTCTCTGATAGTGTCTGGGCAACGGATCCCAAGAATTTTGTGTAGACAACTGTTAATAAACAACTGTATCTTGTGAATGATGGCTTTCGTAGTGGTATAAGTTTCCACCCCATACAGTTGAATTGTCTTGACATTTGTATTGAAAATTCTGACCTTGGTGTTGGTTGACAGTTGTTTTGATTTCAGGTTGTTCTTCAATTGTAAATATGCTGCTTTTACTTTGCCGATCCGCGCCTTGACATCTGCATCAGATCCACCGTGTTCATCATCAATGATGCTGCTTGTTCAAGAATGAAACAATAAGTCACAACTTGCCTCAAAATTACCAATCATGATAATATAAACCAACTCAATTGTTTAGTTTATTGTTGTTTAGTTTAATATGTTCCTATTACTAATGATGACTACCAAACTATAACGAAACAGCTTTTCAGCACAAAATGGTTTCCAACAGATTTTCAATTTTTATCACTCATTGTAATTAACAACACATAAACATTAGGAATATTGAGATTATCATTAATAAGGAACAATTTAATTAGCTTAACTATAACTTTGTTTTGTTATAACCTGAGTACCATAAACTTAAAGGTTACTTATATTAGATGAATATGGTTGATAGTTAAGTTTTTAAAAAGATCCAGAAATTAGGTTTTGATGTTAATCAACCCTTACTGATATAGTATCTATATAATCTTAAACGAAATTTTACCCGGTTGTATGATTCGAATCCACATTAACTAATATGTTTTACTACATATATATATATATATATATATATATATATATATCGTTTGTTTATCTATTATGGTTTTAATCAGAAAGGGGCTTTTGTCGATATTATAGTAATTTAATAGTTGAGATCATGAGTCAATTAAAACTAGATCAATGGTGTATGGTGACGCAATTTCGTGAATCAGTTGAAGTTAGCCATTAACACCGATGAATGGATGCGTACAGCTGAGGAGTCCTACAATAGGACGAAACGGTTATTCAGGGCTTCGAAGATTTTCATGGCGGTCTAACTTTAATTGACTTATGAATTCAACTATTAAATTATATAAAAAAAATGAATTAGAATCAGTCAACTTAAAGTGCATAGTGTTTAGTTTAATTCTATTGTAACATAAAATTTGAAATTGATCTAGTATCATGTTGTCTATGGTGTTCAAGGATATTGAAGTGAACGTGAATACAAGTGAGGACAATAGAATGTAGTTCAATACAAACTTACAAAACGTTTTAATAAAATCTGGGATCCATACAGTAAAAATTTAATTTGCAAAATGTTAAACAGTTGTCTCAAACTTGACTATTCCTTTTGTAAATATCGATCAGTCGTCTCAGATTTGACTGATTCTTCTTTTCCGCATCAATTACTCTATGTTCTTATTCTCTTGTCTTCAATCTTCTTAACCTTCTACTGCCAGATATTTCGTTTTCTATTGATGCTACATACTACTTATATTTATTAACATCAGTAGTACACGCCACAATATCATTTTTAAATTGTTATATTCTATTTATATTGTACATAATTTATGATTCGTAAAATAGATGTTGATAAAGAAGAAGTGTTAGATGGTGGTTGGAGGTAGTCAACAGGAAACCCTGGACCCGGGTTTCGTGCTACTTGGCACTCGTCAGCAAGGTGTACCTGTAATCTTGAGGGAACTGGTGCTCCCTGGCCGATTCGATCTCGTGTCACCCAGCTTCACAGTCAGAGACGTTACCACTGAGCTATCCGAGCCGTGATCAATAGCATTCGATCTGCACTATTAAGGACTAGACAAGCATGAGATTGATCACCACCCAGTGATCAATCAATTGTGAAAGAAGAAGTGTATTTATTATTCTATTAATTAGTCATAGTCAATGCGGAACTCAATACTTACACAAGCATTGCTCAAAATTATATTATACATCAGATGTTACGCTTATTTTAGTTTGATAATGATTGAAAAATGAAACCGTTCATAGTTAACTAGAATTCAGAATAAATGATATAATTAAACCATTTATTTATAATTTTACTACCTCTACCACTATGAGATTTGAATCGACAACTGCATCTCCGAGCTAATGTGGTATGATGTACATACGTACGAAGTTCTACGTTGTTACTGACTGACTGACGTGAAGATGAGCACAGATGAGGACAACAGATTATATTTAGTACAAAATTAGAGTTACTTCATAAAATAGAAAACTTATGCACCAATACTTCATTTGCAAAATGTTCATTAATTCTTTCATGCTTCATTGCTCCTGCATTTCCATACCAATTGCTTTCTGTTCCCATTCTTCTCTTCACGATCTTTTCAAACTTCTGCTGTTAGACATTCTATTCATAACTAACGTTATATACTACTTATGTCGATATGAATAGCACATAATTATATTATTATTATTATTATTATTATTTGTAGAGAGATTGTCCTTCTGGTCAATTAAGTAAAAAGAAATTTATTGAAGTGTATTCTGGATTTTTCCCTGATGGTGATGCTGAAGAATTTTGTACACATGTATTTCGAACATTCGATAAAGACAATTCTGGAAAAATTGATTTTAAAGAATTTCTATTAGCAATTAATATTACATCAGGTGGTAAACCAGAAGAGAAACTTGAATGGGCATTTCAAATGTATGATATTAATGGTAATGGAACTATTGAAAAGCATGAAATGGTTGAAATTATCAAAGTGAGTAGAATAGATTTTAATTATAATTATTATTAATATATATTATAGTGAATCAATGACTGACAGATCTTTCAGTAAAGAAGAGTTGTATGGGTTTTTAAAGTTTGAAATATTATATCATGGAATAATTATAATTAAACAACTTTTGATGACCATGAAGCACTAGATAGTTATTTCGTCCTAGCATGCGACTCTTTGAAAGTAAGCATTCACGACCCCACTAGGTTCCACAGTTGGATTCTCTGGGTCTTGTGATGGAAGTTTAATCTACTGACTGCTGAGGTGACATTAAATTGCTTAAATTTCTAGTTTTAGTGAGATTCGATTGTGGTCACCCACTATTGAATCATGAATATGAATTGCTGAGGAGACCTAAACTATGACGAATTAGTCACCCAGAGCTTCTTAGTTTCCAGTTATGGTCCATGTGAAACTAGTATCTTGTATAAAACTACGAACAAGACCATCAGGACAGGCAGGTTCATTATCTACTGATGTACTTTGGAAAGCATAGTTCCACTTGAATTAAGCATTGATGGTCCCATTGGCAGTCACATCATCCTGGTCTGTAAAAGTATAATCATCAGTAGCATTTATCTAAGCTGGAAATCTTATCACGTGGATAGATATAATGTTGATTATGAATTGCTATGGAACGACCTATCTCGATCTATTTTCAAAAACAGAAATTTTTTTATTACTTTGCTAAAATTGCATGCAGTTAGAGTTTATGTTTAGTGATTAGGGAGAGTCGGTAGGAAGTCATGAATGCAGCTTTTCTATAAATTGAATTTCATCATCAAGAGGTATTGGCCATCTTAAGAGGATGGATGCCCTTGTTCTGGATCCAAACATGGTCATTTATTGTTACAACTAATACCTCTAAGTTATTGAAAGTGAGACAGATCTTTTATAGGACTGAAATATGTACTTTGATTGATTACTAAATGGTAAGTGACACCATATTTGCCATATTCTAATTCTGACTATGATGTCAGGCTTCCTAGATGGCTGAAATTAGTAGGAAGAACATCCTACTTGACTTAGGTTTCTCACTAGTTAGTGATCAACACCAAGGTATACTTATCATCTTGGACAAGCTGAAACTCATTGTGAGATTCAAGCTAGTTTCACTCAGTTTCACAGTCTAACTCCAGGGCTCAGATTCCACCATAAGAATATGTTCTCTGAAGATTGTAAATATACATTGCTTACTGGTACTGATAATCATACACTTGTGTTTAAAGTTTTGTATTACTTGACTCTAAATACGAAACGTCAAAGCTTGAAATATGGCCATATCGATTCACCCTGACCAGAAATCAAGTTACAACTTATTTGATAGAATTCAATCAATACTTAGTACAATATCAACATAATATTGATTTCCACATAGTAATAAGTCAAACTACAGTCTTTCAATCATTTAAGAATGATTTCCAAATAAACTAGGAATATACAAACTCACATATATCTTGAACATTCTATGAATCTACTTGAATTATTTAAATCTAGAATTTGACATAAAATATGGTTACACAATTCCCTCTTTTATTGTTTTAGACATTTTCACAGGTTACTAAAGCTAACCAGTACAAAACGATATCTGTAGACAAGCAAACACAGAAACGTGACGTTAATTCGTTTAAAAAAATCTTTAGATTTATTAGCTATTTGATACTGATAACAAAGTATAATGTCATTCCAACATCTTGTCAATATGATTCTGTATTGTCTGTTATGAAGTATTAACACATTGTTAGCTATTAACAGTCTATTTACTCTATGATTGGCTATTATGCATGTATGCTCATATTTCCAAAATATGAGAAATGTAAACAATTAAATCAGTATTATAGATTTAAACTTCCATTTACATATGAATCTTCCAATATGTTCATACATTGAAGTTAGTAGATAGGATATCCTAGACAATAATTTGTTTCTTGATAGATGTTCACTAATAAAAACGTATCTATAATCTTGACACCACTGATACTCCATATAGATTGCGAACGCATGTGATTCGATTTAAGGACCCGAACTACTACTGACCCATTAGGTTCGTGACTGAATCTCTCATTATTAATATCTATATCAATATATATATGAGTGTGGAATGAAGTTATTTGTTGTCAAGTAATAATAAATAAGGTCTAGGCCATCATGGAAAACCTAGAAGCAGTGGACGGCCGTTTCTTCCCATTGTTGACAGTTATTAGATCGAGAACTGATGAAAACTAGAAGGAGGGAGTGACATCTCTGTTTTGCTCTAGTTCATAATAGTGAATAGTTGTTTGAGCGTCGAATGTAGTCAGCTTAAAAGCTTAAGCATAGATTATGTATCAGTTGACACTTAATGATAGAATATAACCTGGGGTGTTGAGAGGGTTGACATTCACTTTGTAATTCAAACTCTGCATCACATAGATTCACAGTTATAAACGTTATCAATGAGCTGGACTTGTTTCCACATTTCAGCTTGATCAATCGAATTCGATCAGTAAGAAAGGACTAAGGAAACTTGACATTGACAACTATTTATCATATGCCCAGAATTCAATTAGACAACACTTCAAGTTCAAAAAGTACTGAACAGCTATATAACACCTTAGTGATACTCATCTACCATATCACTAAAGGTTGAGTCTCCAACCTCCAAGACTATCAGCATACACTTAACATTTAGATTAACGAGTTGGTGGAAATCAATAGTTTATGTTATCTAACTTCGCTAAATATTACGCAAATATTATCCATGGCTTTTAGTGAAATTTGTATTTATGTTGAACATGATTAAACCCCATTGTTCACAGTAAGGTCTTGAATGTATACTACTGATGAATTTCATTCTGATTTCAATGATTACTTAACCAGAATCAGTCCAGAATAGGAACAATCTTTTCATTTCCCTGCATTTTTTTAAAATGTTACATTTTTATAATCAACTATTTACTAGAATCATTAGTTCAGTAAAACAAAAATAATCGTGTATAACATGACATGGAATATTTAACAGACAACACTTCAACTGGTTAGTGTTCATATTCCAATATATCTCTCTTTTTATTTATTTAAGTTTCCTGTTTAAACTTTATCTAAATTGATGTACAGGCAACTGTTTGTTTGTTTGTTTGTCAGTTAGTTAGTTTAATGTTTTATCTGCTTCATTAATAAACCGAAAAATAATTCTAACTAGTATAAATACTTCTGGGGATTTTTTTTGTTGAAAAGTAGAGTGGGAAAAGAATTGTAAACATAAAGACATATTCATTGTGTAGTCAAGCGTTAAGTGGAAACATTTTTAGCAAAAATTATATGTATATTGGTATAGAGTTGTGAAGATTTTTGAATTTTACTGAAATCATTGACCGGTCAATGTTAGAAGATCACGGAAAACCCGGAAGGATTGGATGGCCGTTTTGCCATTGTATGGGATTCCTCGCATCCGCGACTATGCACGCAGGTTGAAACTCAACAATTTCTACAACCTCTTACTGATAATAATCTTGTGCTCACTAATGACTAACTTCCAGAGATAATTCTCGAAGTTATAGTGAGAAGCTGTGACCAGTGAAGTTTAACCGTGTTGGGTGTGTGGCAACCTCCCATTGTAGAGAATGGAAAATGGTTGTGAATTATCGTAGATTGATTAAAGATAAACACTAACCCCGATGGAAGCCGATTCAGTGATCTAGAGTCTAAGTGTTTTCGCGCACGATCGAAGGTACTGTGTTTGATTTCCGCGTGTAGAGTTACGGATGCGCACTGCTGTGGAGTTTCATACTAGGGTGAAATTTCCATCCAACGCATTCAGCTTTTCAATGGTGGTCTAACACTGGTCATTTCATTATTTCAGTGAATATACACATATACATATATGCATATATAATTCTGAAAACAGATGTTTTCAAGTAAATAATCTCCTTATCCGTTGTCATCTATCAACAAAAAACCCGTAATTCTTATGAACATTGAAAGGTTTTACAAACTATACACATTACTATAAATAATATGGAAAGGATTTAAGTGATACATTCATAATATGAAACATTAAAAAGAAACTGGAAAATGGAAGAGCATATGAACAAACAAACAAACAATTGAGAGTACACAATACATCTTTGAAAGTAATCAAAACGAAAGTTAAAATTGGCTTTATTACTTACAAGACATTTGTGAACATTAGTCCAGTGACATTGTATTAGGTGTTATAATGAGAAAATGGTAATTTTCTCCAATTCATTTATTAATGACAATAGTATATAAAAGTAAATAAATTAAAAAGAAGAAAGAAAAACGATTTCCTCTTTTTCATAAACTGAACAAAAATATAGATCTAGTTATATGTTGTAAACAAAAGGTTCTATTCAATTTGTATTAATGAAATCATAATTGTTATCTCATAAATCAATATCTATCATTCAAATTTCCTATTCTTCCATGTTATTCTTCTTCTACTCCTGATTATACTGAATAATATCGGCGTGTATCATGTGCTCTCAGTCAGTCAGTAACGAAGTGAAACTTCTTACGTACGTACATCAGTTCGAGTTGCCATACCACATTAACGCAGAGATGCAGTTGTCGATTCAAATCCCATAGTGGTAGAGGTGGTAATCGGAAAGATTAGGGTTTGAAGATGTTATTCAAAAGAGTATAATCCAGTGAAATAAGGTTGGAATGAGAAAAAAGTAGGGACATAAAGAATTCGGAAGATTAGAATTTGGCAGAACACAAAGAGTGGATACATCTGCACCATTGTAAACGATTTTGAGCCATGTGCTCTATTGTTTACATAATTTAAAATTTTAATTTCTCTTAGCAAAATTTCAAAACGAGTTAGTTTCGTGAAAATTACATTGTGACTTCATAAACAATGAGAATATTGTCTGTAAAATACTGTAAACTACATTTATAAAACCAAACAAGTTTCTTTGATCTATTTACTGATATCGGTTACATAGCAGAGAAAACTTTATAAAGGTTACTAAGTAAAAAGAGATAACTGTTACTCTGTTATACGGAATACGATATACAACTAATGACACCCGAACGTATAGAACCTCACAGTCTCAAAATAGAAGAAAAAAGAAGTAGGACAAGTGATTGTTTGGTAAGAATCAAAAATGTGCAAAAAAAATCATGGGTATCTATAAATATTAGCGTTAACTATAGCATCATTATAATTTAGCCAATCAGCCAGTAGGCAAGTTATGCTACCATCTAATCGTAGCATGTTACATTGATATTCTAGAAATTTCTATCTAGTTCTAACTAGGTAAAAACTCCTCGTCTCCTTTAGGGCGTCTAGAGGCTCCATCCGGCTTCTCGGAAGCCGTCCCAACAATAACGATAATAGTAGTAGTAGTTTGTACAAATTTCAATGTCACATTGGAATTTATTCAGGTACATTTTACCATTACTACTTATTAAAAGAAAAAAACATGTAATATGAAACCTAATCTCTAAATGAATAATGGTGTGAAATAAGAATTAAAAGAGATAATACCAAATTCACAATCAGATTGTATAATTGAAAACTACTTCCCTATCTTCTCTGAATTATTTGATATTATTAGGCTTACTACAAAACTATACCTTGTATTCACATTCAATGTGTGGACTGAATAAAAGTCCAAGAGATAATTAAAAGTTTGTCCATTGACTATTAGATCAAAACACTTGATTTCCCATTAAAAGGTTAAGAATTTACAATCATGCTCTCAATTACTTCAATTTTGGTTATCCAGTTGATATTAATAATTAGCCTTCACACAATATATGACTCAAAGTTAAGTAATATAAATGTGTACGTGGTAAATCACGTCATGAGTTTAAGCGTTTACGCATAAGACCGTAGGTCATAGGTTTGAGTCCTGTGTGTGGGATCGTGGATACTCACTGCTGAGGAGTCCCATACTAGAATAAAACAACCTTCTAATGATTCCAGGTTTTCAATGATGATTTAGCTTAGATCAACTAATGAATTTCATTGTGAAGATCAAAAATATAATTAAACATCAAATATGAATTGCACCACTGTGTCTTTCCCTGTTAAATTACTTTCTAAAGAATGAATCACAATTAGAAATTGGGATTTATTTATGACTATTTTTGCAAATCATGTTATGTAAAATTATGTACCATAGTTCAGTCACATCTATTAAACGGATATTGATTAGACAAATAAACGATAAACTTAGGTCAGATACTTGAAAGCTTCAATACCTTACATCTTAATAGTAAGTTTTCAATGAGACATGAAGAAAAAGGTGTGTTCTAATTTTTTTCTTTGAGATTTAGTTACCTTTCGAAGAAATAATGAAGTTTACCTTTTGGTGGAGTTTTGTTCTCTGAGCTGGAAGTCTATCTGAAGTTTGTGCTGATGATGTCGTTCAGAAGAACGATGAAAGCTCCACGACCAAACCATCCAACTCAGAGAACAAAACTCCACCAAAATCATCCACCTGAGCTACAAATCTTCTCCACCATCTTAATGAAGTTTACCGAATGTAAACATGTAGGAAATCAAACTGCAGTGGATAATGCTTAAATTTATACAGATTGTGACATATATGCTATAGATATAGATTAGTGAAATTATCCTCTCACAGAGTCAAAAAGTTATATTCATCAGAAAACCTCAAGGAGGAATATATGGAAATAAATAACCATCCATAAGTAAATGGATGCTCTGAAGCATTTATAAACTAATGCACCTCGGAATATCGAAATAATAGGAAGAAGTTTGCAAAGTTGATCAATTTATGAATAAAATTAATGACAAAAAACAGTTTTAAAAAGCACACTCATCAGTACAAAACTGG